CACACACACACACACACACACACACACACACATATCCTGATAAGCTGGTGACAGTGTAATGAAACAGTCTGGCACGGTCATGCTTTTTTTGTTGAGTTGTGTATAGTGAACATGACAACACACATATGGACATGTGCACAAGCACGTGAACAGAGACATGCGAAGGCTCCAACAAACACCAATTCTATACACAAAGCAGGAGCTTAAAAAAAAGAAACAAAGCAAAAAAAAAAGTGAAAAGATCCACGAATCTCAGTACCCTGGTCCAGTCCCAAGTCCCAGTCTCGAGTCCCAATCCCAAGTCCCAGTGTCGCATGCCTAGAAACATCAGAGAGGCATGGCGCAGAACCATACATGTGGCGCATTGCGCACTGCTCACGTGGCGCGTGCACCACGTGCGCCGCACCCCGATATCTAAGGGCCGGGGGTGCGGGGGGAAGTTGCGGGGGGCAGTAGTAGGCCCGTCACACCCCTCGTGTAAAATAAGAAAACATCATAGAAATTACTTTCCCCCGCCGCGCATGCCGTTTGTTTTTTTCTCATGTGATATTAGAGAGATCTGAGATTGGCAAAAGCAAGTGCTTCCCCTGAGTGTCCACAACGGCTCCTTGTGTACTCAAATCCACACAAGTGACAATGCTGGTTAGATACAGAAAGGAGGAGGGTGTGTGCTGCTCAATGAAACTGCCCTTTCCGTGAACTAGATGAGGGCACTATTTTTGCGAACGAAAAAAAAAAAAAAAAAAAAAAAAAAAACTTTAAAAAATTACTCAAATGTACACAAACTACGATTATGTTCAGATACAGAAAGGATGAGGGTGTGTGCTCCTCAATAAAACTGCCCTTCCCGTGAACTATGGTGAGGGCAGGATGTGTGCAAGGTTTCACTTGAAAAAAGAAAAAAAGAAAAAACAAAACAAAGAGGACCTCCAAAGGCTCAGATGTTACAACTGACGATTCTGGGTCGATACAGACAGGATGAGGCCCATCATGAGGGATGGTGCTGCTCTTGAAAAGAGTGCTTCCTGTGAGTGCAGACAACAGCTGGTTGTGTACTCGGACGTACACAAGTGACAATTTTGGTAGGATACAGAAATGATGAGGGTGCGTGCTGCTCAAGCGAACTGTCCTGCCCGTGAACTATGGTGAGGACTTCCAAGATATATTAAGAAAAAAGAAAAAAGAGAACTGATCTCGTAGTCAGTGTATAGAAGTAATGGTTCAGGGCAGATACAGTCATAATGAGGGTTCGTGCTGCTCTCGAAACTTGCTTCCCCTGACCCTAGTAATGGCTCCTGACTTCGGATGTATAGAACTGGCGATTGACCTCCGATGCATTCATGTTAGGATTGAAACTGAGCTTCCCGTGAACTTTCACACCTCACATACACCGCGCCACCCGCCTCCCCTTTCCCTTCCCCTCCCAAAAAAAGAAAAAAAAAGTGTGTGCGCACCAGAAAAGAGTGTGGCGCACTGCACACTGTGCACATACACGAGGTGTGCCTGGTGCGCCCATGTGCACACGCATTGTATATGGCCACACCGCACCCGGCGCACCGCACTGCGCCACACACCTGTGAGGTGCGCCACAAGTAATGCACAGAACCCAAAAAAACGACCGAAGGAGAAAGAGCAATAACAATGCAGCGGAAGACTGAAATACACAGATCTGACAGAGACTGACTCATCATGAGTCAGGACTGACTGCATACATATCATCACACCAATGATGGAATGGCACAGCGACACACACATAGAAGAAAGGTCGACGAGGGGGATGATGAAGAGACAAAGGGGAAGAAGAAGAGGAGTCATCAACTCAAAGAGCAATGTGAATGCGTAGTACCCAACAATAATCCCCAATGTCGCTGTCGAGTACAATGTCCGAGTCTGGGCAATTGCCCAATGTCACCAAATCTCAACTCTCTCTCTCTCTCTCTCTCTCTCTCTCTCTCTCTCTCTCTCTCTCTCTCTCTCTCTCTCTCTCTCTCTCTCTCTCTCTCTCTCTCTNCCAGATAATTATAGTCTCCTGTCCACCTCAATCTCCCTCCAAGCCCCAACAATGAATCTCAGATCTCGAGTCAGAGAGCCTGCCTCCCAAAGTACCAATGTCAAGTATTCTCTCTCTCTCTCTCTCTCTCTCTCTCTCTCTCTCTCTCTCTCTCTCACACACACACACACACACACACACACACACACACACACACACACACACACAGAAGAAGAAGAAGAAGAAGAAGAAGAAGTAGCCGAGGGAGAAGAAGAAGAAGAAGTAGCCGAGGGAGAAGAAGAAGAAGTAGCCGAGGGAGAAGAAGAAGAAGAAGAAGTAGAAGAAGAAGAAGAAGAAGAAGAAGAAGAAGAAGAAGAATCCTTTCTATCTCCCTCTGTCTAGTGGAGCCAGATACTGACCAACGTAAAGGTGTCACCCTGAAGCTGTGATGCAGGTGGGAGCGCCCTGGAGACGAACTGCAGCGATGGCGCCCAGGTAAGTCGATCAGGTAAGTCCCACCGTCAACCTCCTATCACTCTACTCTAGCCTAGCTCCTCTACAGATACAGTGCTGCTCCAGCAGTGGAGTGTCTGCAGACTTTGCACCTCCGCATGCTGCATACCTAACGTGTGGGCGGCCCAGCTAAATATAGCGCTTGGCCTACTGGATGCAGCTCCGGTCTGCATCCTGGGCCGTCGGATCATATCGTCAATCAATGGTCCAGGATGCAGGCCCAAATCCTGGTCCTGAATCCTGGCCTACCTCGGCCTGCCTGGGTCCCTACCAGATGTCCAGGCTCCTGTGCTGACCCAGCAGAGGTATCCTCTGAAAAGGACAAAACGTGGACTTGACCAAAAACGAGGTCCAGCCTAAAGGAAAAATGTGCCCGGCGTGAAACACGGCCTCTGGGCCTGAATCGACCCGAAATGCTGGAACATCTGGATCTGAATCAGACAAACGGACCATGATAGCAATCCGGACCACCGTACAGGGATCCAAACCGTCCAGTGTCCGGTACTGAGTCCGGATCCCGCTCCGGATGGTGGGCACCATGGCATATGGCCAAAAAACATGGCGCTCTATTTTTTTCCGCCCTTCCCTTTGATCTGGAACGGCTGGAAAGTAGAGTTCGTGATTTTGTTTGTTTATTTTCTTTTTTTTTTTTGGAACGATTGGGGGCGAATTTCACGGCCGCCATTTGGCAGAGGCAGCCTCAAAATCGAATAGCTGCCACGGCCGCCCCCACCCCACGTCGACCACATCGTTTCAAGTGCCCTTCGAGCTCTGCCATCACCCATTGCCAGGGAGGGAGCAAACATGGCGTGCGGAGCAGCGTGGGGAGGTGGGCGGCAAGCAGCATGAGGAGGCATGCGGAGCAGAGCAGCGACCAACACGTGGAACAGGGAGAGGATTAGTGTGGCAACCAACGCCTTCTTCTTCCTCCTCTAGCTATAGGGAACAGCGCGGCGACCAACATCTTCTTCGTCCTCCTCCAGCTGTGCATATTCTTGCACTGCCGCCGCCTCCACCTCCTCCTCCTCCTGACATACGTGTTCTCCTCCACCTCTTCTTTCTGGCCGTAGTCGTCATCGTCCTCCTCCTCCTCCTCCTCCTCGTCAACTCCGCCCTCCTTTCTTTGTCTCTCTTCCCCTCCTCCTCGTCCTCCTCCCTCTCGTCAACTCCACCCTCTCCCTGCTTTTCTTTCTCCCTCTCCTCCTCCTGCTCCTCCTCCTCGTCAACTCCGCCGTCCTTTTCTTTCTCCCTCTCCTCCTCCTCCTCATCAAGTCTGCCCTCCTTTTCTTTCTCCCTCTCCTCCTCCTCCTCATCAAGTCTGCCCTCCTTTTCTTTCTCCCTCTCCTCCTCATTCTCCCCGTCCTCCTCCTCCTCCTTTTCACCGTCTCTCTCTCTCTCTCTCTCTCTCTCTCTCTCTCTCTCTCTCNCTCTCTCTCTCTCTCTCTCTCTCTCTCTCTCTCTCTCTCTCTCTCTCTCTCTCTCTCTCCAATTTCTGTCACATCTCGCATATCTCACCGTTTCTTCGCGTAAATGCTCTTGACATCGAAATATTGAACCCTTCCCCTCGGGCCCCCCAAACTCTTTATGTGACCCACAGAAATGCTGGGTGCTTATCACTTTTTTTTTTTCCTGGCAGGATTCGTTCACTGTGGCCTCCTTTTCTTTCTCCCTCTCCTCCTCCTCTTCTTCCTACTCGCCAAATCTGCCCTCCTTTCCCGTTTTCCTCCTCATTGTGAACTCCACCCTACTTTTCTTTCTTCCTCTCCTCCTCCTCCTCATCAAGTACGCCCTCCTTTTCTTTCTCCCTCTCCTCCTCCTCCTCCTCCTCCTCGTCAACTCCACCCTCCTTTGTCGTCCTCCTCCTCCGCTCCTCCTCCTCCTCATTGTCAACTCTGCTCTACTTTTCTTTCTTCCTCTCCTCCTCCTCCTCATCAAGTCCGCCCTCCTTTTCTTTCTCCCTCTCCTCCTCCTCCTCCTCCTCCTCGTCAACCCCACCCTCCTTTGTCCTCCTCCTCCGCTCCTCCTCCTCCTCATTGTCAACTCTGCCCTACTTTCCTTTCTCCCTCTCTCCCTCCTCCTCCTCCTCCTCCTCTTCCTCGTCAAGTCCGCCCTCCTTTTCTTTCTCCCTCTCCTCCTCCTCCTCTTCCTCCTTTTTTTCATTTTTTCTGGACAGACATCCAGACAGTGGATCCGGGCAGCTCTGGAATTTGTGGAATATTTCGGTTTTATAGAAGTCCGGATGGGGCTGGGAGGTCTGGTGGCGTCTGGTGTCCGGATCCGGTCCGACGTAGCTATGGAATGGATGTTCCTGATGCAGGTAAGTGAAGATGAGGTTCCACCATAGCCAAAGGTTAGTTCTCCTCTCGGTTGCCCCCTCCTTCCTCTCACCTTCTACACTCGCCTTCCACTCCATAGCCCAGTGGACTCCTACTACTACTCCCTCCTAGGCGAGGCACCTCTCCCTAATCTCCGCCATAGCGGGGAGCTCTCACCATCAGCCTCAAGGTCCTCCTTCGCCACCCAGTCCTCCGCCAACCTCTCTCTCTGGGTGGAGCAGCAGCATGACTGCCGGGTGAATGTCCGAAGTGGTTCAGCTCACTCATTGCACCTGAATGATACACCCATGCCTCTCGGGTACTCCAGGTACTACCTGCCTCCCACTCGCACACTAGGACCTCCGGAAAGTTCCTGCCAAAGATCATTGCAACGTGCAGGCTACCTCCAGGCCCTAAATCTATCCATATACCTGTCTACATACAGGCTGTGGACCATTATGACCTTTCCGACTACTGGACCCTCTGCTAGGTCTACCTGGGCCTACCCGAGTTGCTAAAAAAGGCCTACCAGCTCCCTATCAAATTCTACAACTGCCCCTAGCCTTCTAGAGTTTCCGGTAAGTTCCTCTGTTGCCAAAATTTGGGTCCTTCCTGTGTCTATACCTATCACTGATTTGCCGCTGCATGAGGCACAGAAAACACAGCACGGAAATCAGAGTTAGCACGGGACACAGACTTGGCTCAGGCAAGAACACGACACGCATACATCGTCAGCAGGTCAAACACACACTTAGAAAACAGAGCAAACTGGACTCAGACTCGAAAATCTGAACAAACAGATCAAAGGTGGCAAGAGAAGATGCAGATCTCTCAGTCTGTGAAGGTCATTGCACAGGGCAAGAAAAAAGGAGAGAGAAAATTATACCCAAAGCCCCAAAGGGCCAAATGGCTATTGCAGTGGTTGGGGCGTTAACCTGTGGGCTGAAATGGGGAGGTCCTTGTGAACCAGTTGTGTCACTTACATGCAGTTCTTGCTTAGTGAACACACGAACTGGTGTGTTGTTATCGTCAAGTTCGAATCTTAGCTCAGCACTGGAGAGCTCAAGGGCACCCTCTGCCTCTCGTCGGCACTTGAACCTCTGCAGCAGAAGCGAACCGAAAAGGCAATAGGACCCCAATTATCACGAGATCACCCTAACACACTATTTTCTTTGATTCAAGGTATCTGCTCATATTCAATCAACTTCAAGTGAAGATATAATTACCATAACAGATTTTTTTGGAAATACCAAATTTTGATCCTCTTCTGGTTCACAAGGATCTTGTAGTTCAACCTCAAGCTACTGCTGAGAATGTAGTGCATGACCTCACATACCCTCATGCACTGCTAATAACTGGTATCACTTCAGATAACACACCAGTTTCCAGGCCTCGAGGACCAGCATGAATGATTTACAGTGAAGTTTGGACTTGGTTTGTGTCTAGTTCTTGCTGGCTATTGAAGCACGGTTTCCCACTCCCCTGCACACTCACGCTCGCCATAGCCATTGTTAGCATTTATGCTCACTGACATGTAACGGGCAAAATCAGCAGGCATTGCCAGGCAGTAGGAACCTGGGCTACCAGAGTCGGATCCGGGTCCGCGCAGCCACGACTCATGCGCCCGGGTAACCTGGGCAAGTAAAAGACCTGAGCACAGGGCTGGGCCGTCAACCGACCGGTTAAGCTGGGCTGGCCCAGCCGAGGCCGGACCGGTCTAGGTGGATCCAACCAGAAAACCGGTGACCCAAAAAAATGCCCAATTGTTTGTTTGTTTTTTTCCCCCTGATCACGGGATCCGTCTGCGCTCGCTGAGATCTAACGGAATCCACACTAAAACTTCCAACATCAAAATTGTTTTGGAGGGTGTTCTTTGGGGTCGGGGGTGGGGGGAGGGGGAGGAGGAGGAGGAGGAAACGGCGGTGAAGAAGGGGGAGGAG